ATCTGGCATCAACACTCACATCACGGCTGCAGTGAGGGGGCCGCTTTTTGTCTTGACTCTGATGTTTGATGTGGACATTAGCTGAAGCCCCGGACTTGTGTGCTGGATCTTATGCTTAGTACTGCTGGTACATTGTGTGACTAGGTAATTGCAGGAATAAACAGGTGAGTGTTTGCATGATAAAATGAAGTTATCACCCAAAGGAAAAGAAAACTGAGTGCTACTAGAAACCTGGAATAAAATAAAATATATATTTCCTCACTTGGTACTTTCATGACCGTGAAGCAGAGAGCTGTACAACCTGTCAGCGCAGACTTTTCCATCTGGTGACTTGAAGATTCACAGTAAATGAGCACAGTTATTTTCACTTGGTGACTCCTTGTGGCCTTTGGATTGAGAGACCACGCCCATTAGGGTTAAAGTTGATCACTCAGGACAATACTGCATTGATGAGAAGCAATCCTTCCCTATAGGGGGACAAAATGCCCATTACAGCACAAGAGACTTAATGGATACCTTTCAGGAGTCAAGGGTTCAGGATTTTCCTTTGACGTGAACCTCTCTATATGCAGCTGACAAACACCGACTAAATATTCCTTGATCCATTTATTTATTTATTTATTTATTTATTTATTTATTTATTTTTTCGCCTTCTCCTTGATCCATTTAAATGAGAGCATATAAAATAAACCCTTCAGGGATCTGCACCAGAAAACTTGTTTCTTTCTCTTTAGCCTCAGGGCGTAACCTAAAACCAGGTGTCTCTGAAATGTGTAAAATATCAAACCAACAGGACTGCAACTCTGTAGCTTTCTCAGCAGAGATAGAAAGAACAGCCTTCAGCTTTGTAAACAGGATACATCATCTGCAATCTACTTTCTCTGCTTGACTCTCTTAGATTTTTCTGAGTCATGCTGTGGATCTTTCCCACTTGTTTGGGGTAGCACTGACGCAGGGAGCGAGAAGAAGAGCGAAAATCAGAAATACAATAAAGATGCTACTAAAAATTTTGTTGATAGTTTAAAATGTTTTAATATGTGTTTTGATGGAAAATAGTTTATTATTGTTTTACGGGCCACTTGCTGCTGTTTCACACAAGCTCCTTTCTTGCAAATGATGGATGATGGATGTTTGTGATTTGAGGTTATTTAGATTCATTAAATCAAAGGAAACTGGACTGTACATTTATTGCCTTGTTAAAGATGACGCACTTATTTTTTACTGCACAGAGTAACAGGTAAAATAAAAATAATGATGCGGTCTGCATTTAGATTGGCTAACTACAATCCTCGTTTTTATTATGCAATTCTGTCTGGATACTAAAAATCTCCCAGGAAAACTAACGCTCAAAAAAGGAAGGAGACTGTGGCTATGCCTGACCAAAAAAAGAAAAAAAAAACATGATGAAAAGGGAGAGTAACAGAATCTGAAATGGAAACAAGAGTAAATAAAAAATAGTGACTCTCAAAGGAGAGTTCTCCAGTGCTCAAGAGGGTCTAAAGGGGAGATTCAGTCAGAACTATGTCTCCATATTACAAAGACACAATATAAAAATCACGGTGAAAATCAGCGAGACTCAATAATCTGATAATCATGTGAGGAAGGTGTAACAAAGACCAGTTTTAGGGGTGTTTACAGAGGTTTTGTGCATAAACTGTGTATGTACAAAGAAACATGCATATAATATGACCTTCCCCGAATGCAAAGTGTTTTTTATAATGTAAAAATTAACTGTAAAAATGCCTCTAGAGAAGGCCAAGTCCAATAGCACAAAGATGAAAAATAAGGTGAGAAATAACTAGCATGAAGCAAAACAGCCAGTGCTTTTACGATGGTCTGTCATCACTGATGCTATAAATAGCTGTGACCATGTGTAATGGTCTGCTTTCTCTTTTTTTCCTTTTGTTTGTAGTCTAACATTTTGTTTTTTGCCAGGGTCTTTTGCTCTCTTTTTTTTTTTATCCCCGTTCTGTTTTTCTTTTCTTTTTAATTCCAAAAACAATCAAAGCCACATTTCCCTTTCTCCACTTTCTTCACATCCTCCCCAAAGTAAATTACACTTCTTCATTAACCTGAGTTGCAAACAGCGATTTTATATGGAACTGATGCAATAAGAAAGCATCTGTGTCCACTCGTGGCTAAAGATGCGAGCAAAGAGTTGGCTCGGCCATGTGCGTAAAATCTCACTGTGACTGAGATTTGTGTTTTTAAAAGAGGACAGCGCATACACGTGGCTTTCTAAATCTCTCAAGAAGACAGCGTATGCATTTTTCTGCTTTTGTGCACACACAGCTATATGAATCTTTCCCCGGGTGGCTTGTTTTTCCAGAGTTTCAGAGAACATGCGCATCTACACAACATTACCTTAAAGTACAGCAGCCATGACACCACCGTGGTCAAAGCAAGGTTAGAGTCTCAGTCTTTCTCGGGATGACGGTTTGTACCCTATAAATCTTTGAGTGTGACATGACTGAAAAGTGAGGCGGTCACGATGCTGAGTGCTGAAATATTCCACATGCCTGTTCTCGACAGCTGAGGCAGCGTCGAGCGTGCGTACACGCGGAGAGTGCGAGCGAGGTCGGGGAATGCAATGAATGATGCAAAATGGAAAAGAGGCCGACAGGCTCTTAACAGTTCCTTCTGTGCATATCACGTTAGCTACTACAAGTGTATTTACTACACTTTTTACTACAAAGAAGGTCAAGTGAAAGCTAGTAACTGCTACTGGATCTCTCTTTCTGGTAACCTGCACTCTTGTTCTGTCTCCTGGACCCTTGTACTTGCCTCAGTATGAAAAGAAAGAGGTCAGGTGGAAATCAGCATCTTAGCTAACACCCCCCCCCCCCACACACACACACACACACACACACTGCACCCCCTGCTACACCACCATGTTGTTCCCTCTCAACAGTTTGTTTACTCGAGTTTATCTGGTCAGCAAAATGGACATCTCCCATCAGAGTGTGTGTTGCTGGCATCAGTTCCTACACTTTCTCTCGTGTCCCATCTAGGTAGTTTGCCTCATGCAACGTGGGAGGAAGTCTCACCATCAATTATAGATTATGCTGACTGGGTGGGAAAGCCCATGCATATGGCTACACACCGGTAAACACTCATGCATGCCAGCGTACATTAGTCACATTTATGAAGAAGGCTTCCGGGGGGGGTGTTTCCCCTCAATTCATTTCTATTTCTAAAGTGCCAATTCACAACAGCGATTATTGCGGGGAACTTTACATTGTAACGGCAGGCGGTCGGACTCTGTTTTGACAGGAAGAAACCGCCGACGTAAACCGAGCTCGAGGAGGGCGGCCATCTGCCTCAGCCGGTTGGGGTGAGGGGAAAGAGAGAAAGAGGAGCAACAAATCACGAACAATATAACAGTAAACACTCAGCAGGTTGGTGGGGACAGTCACCGTGCATCAGAAACATGCAGCTCTGGAGTCAGACATGCATGAGAAAAGGTACAGAGGGGAGAGAGGACAAAGAGGAAAAGGGACAAACTGCATACTGGAGAAGTTAAAGCCATCAATCCCTGCAAGTCTAGAAGTTCAAAAACCCCTCACTGAAAAACACATAGCATTTGTGATAAATCAAATGACAAAGAAAACTTGGAGCACAGTTGTGCCTTACAATTGCTGTGCCGTTCAATATCTTTGTCTAGACATGATGGTTGTGCGTGAAAGATTACTCCTATTGTTTTGTTTTTTTTTTAATCTCCATTTAACACAATATCCAACGAGCTCCAAACCACTGCAGGTTTAGTGCTACCTACTTGACCAAGGCCAGATGACTGATGAGCTATGAGAGGGAACACGGAGGGTATCAACACAAACCCATGTGTCATTAAAAGTGAAAAATGTCATTGCCATTACTCATTATGTGAATGCATTACTAACAAGCTATATGTGAATGTTTCCAGAAGCCAGCTCTCTAAAAGGACACAAAAAGTCGAAGGGAACTGTATCCTATTCCCCACAAGTACGCCGCTCTCATTTACCCTCGTCCTCAGATCAGAGGTGACACATCAGCACCGCTCTGCTTCGCCGTAATCAATAATGTGTCAACAGCAGCCAGGAGATGCTTGTCAGGAAGGCCCAACCTTTTGCTCCTTCCTACTCCTTCTCCTTCACCTCGGTGATGTCACTTCCTGCTTGTTGCTCTCGCAGCTGAGAGAAAAAGGCTTAGAAGAGAGAAGAGGGAGCCACTATTCTCGCATTTTCGCTGAACAGAGTCCCACCACATCCCTTTTCCCCCTCTCAGCCTCCTCTTTCTCCCCACAGAACCGCTGTCTCTTTCACCACCGACTGCTTTATTCCTCCTTCTACCTCAACCTTTTCTCCATCTCACCATCTCTCTCCCCTCCCCCAAGCATCTTTCCTTGCAGCTCCCTTGCACCCACTTTTTCTTCCTCCTGCTCTGCACAGCCGTGTGAGAGCCTCTTTCACTTTCCCGCCTCCCCGTCTCTCCTATTCCGTCATACGTCAGCTGTTTTTCCCAGGAAGTGTTTTATTTAGAGCAGATTAATTAATTAGATACAGTATCAGAGCCATGGCCATTCTTAGCCCTGGCCATCAAGGCCCAGAGGCTAATGGAACTGCAGAAAACGTGTGTGTGTGTGTGTGTGTGTGTGTGTGTGTGTGTGTGTGTGTGTGTGTGTGTGTGTGTGTGTGTGTGTTGTTTTTCGCAGCAGCAGCACCAAGCTGTGTGTATTTTTCAGATCTGCAGGTGCTTGTGTATCTGCGCCAGTGTGTACACTAATTGGACTTGTCAAGAAATGTCACTGTATATAAAAATTGTGTGTGTACGCATGCCTAAATTTGAGTATGCATGTGCACACGTCAGACTGTTATATAAGAAAAAAAATAAGCACCTTTATCTCATCGTGCTGGTAACAGGGTTGTTTTTGTTGCAGCTCACAAACAAACCACTGTGTGTTACTGGCAATCCCGTTCTTACGCCCTCCTCCCATCTCTCGCTCTCTCTCCTTTTCCCTCCAGGGACCGGTTCTCACACCAAGTACAGAGCAGCACGCAATGAGGAAGAAAGAAAAGAGGTGCTTGTCCAATCAGAGGTGCAGATGGCCACAGAAGACATGAATACCAGCCAATCTGGCACTAGGACGACTTCCACTTGCCAAATCATACATAAATCAAATGTGACCCCGCTAATTAATCGACTTATACAGTTTACCTAGACACACATACTACCAATGAAGTGTTACATCCCATTCATGCACACTATTTCTTCAAGCTTTTAGCAATTCCTCGGTTTGGCACATTTGCCGCTCGTGGAACAGTCACAATTCTCAAGAAAAGCAAATCCCTGTTCATGAAAATATAACCGTTAAAAAACACACCCACCCTCCCTTCACAATGGCTCCAGTCTACAAGAATAAATGTTAGATGGCGAGCAACTCTGGTCGGCTTTCTCCAGCGGATACTGCAATGACATCCCAAATGGCCCAGAACACTGAACAGGGACGGCAGCGACATAACACGACTGGAGGGTCTTCATCAGTGGTCTTGTCTACAGCCAGCTCCTTCTTCTGTTTCCTTGCACTGCTTTCAATGATGCGGCTGCCGGTGGTTAAGGCAGACTGCTGGCTTATTGAAGGGGAGAAAGGCTTCGTGTGGCTGGCTATCTGCAGTATGAACCAGCCTCCCTACGAGGCCATACCCTCCCACATTAACAGGTACGAAAACTTACAATGAAACTTATTTCCACAGTATTTTCCCGAGTTGCTGGATGCTGAGAGATCTCACACATCTCCCCACAGCACTATTGTGGATCTGAGGCTGAACGAGAACAAGATACGGGCGGTCCATTATTCTTCACTGAGTCGCTTCAGCAACCTCACCTATCTGAACCTGACCAAGAACGATATCAGTTACGTAGAAGATGGAGCGTTTTCAGCACAATTTAATCTGCAGGTGCGTCCTGACACAATATGCATTCATAGGTTTTTCCATATAGGTGCACATTCATCAATGCACATACATACAGCAGTGGAAAATTACAGTATTATTTGGGTACATGAAATGCACTCTTCAAACTGTTTGGATGTATTTGGATAATGTAAAAAGTGCTCCATAATTTTACAGTATACACAGTAACTAAATGCAATCCATCAGTCTCAATGTAAACAAAGTGTTTGTGCATATGAGAGTGCATATCCAACATTAAACTGCTGCTTAATCCCACAGTGCACCAGAGGACTAATAATCCAATTACACAATATATACTTAACACTTGGTATCAAATTACTATACTATTATGCACCAACCGAATATATTCTTTTTCTTCTTCTTATTAGTATTAGTAGTAGTAGTATGTATGTGTATGTTTATGTGTATGCAATAAAAATACAGTTCTGCCAATTTCCCTGTAAAAAGCAAATGCCTTATCTCATTTCTAGTAATCTGATCCCCTCCTCAAGGTGGTTTTCGTCCATGCAGTTCGTCCATGTGGCTGCCATTTTACAGTCAGGTCCATAAGTATTTGGACAATGGGACAGGTTTTGATTGGACAATTGACTGACAAGCAGTTTCATGGCCACTTCAGGCCAGGTTCTTTGTTATTTTAAGGGAGATTAAATATAAGCAGGCGTGTCAGTGAGGCCACAAAAACTTTAGGAGTGACCAAATCTGGTACTTTCTAACAAATAATGAATGCAGTTCGACCATGCCAAAAAGCCTCAAAAACCACAGAAGACAACCAAAGTGGATCATCGTAAATTCTTTCCTTGGTAAAGAAAAAGAACTTCATACCAACTAACCAATTCAAAAATACTCTCAGGGAGGTTGGTGCATCACTCGTGAAGTCTACAATGCAGAGATGCCTTCATGAATGGAAATGCAGAGTGTCTACAACAAGGCATTGTTAGGAACAGCTTCTGATCCACAGCATAGCACATCTGCGAAACATGGTGGAGGTAATGTGATGGAATGTGCAGCTCTTGGAACCGTTTACTAGTCTTTATTGATGATGTGACTACTGATAGAAGTACTATGAATTCTGAAGTTAGTGCTGGAAAAGTTATCTGTGTCCATCTTGATGTTTATAACAGGTCAGAGATTTAGTAGCCTATGACGAACCCTCACATTACACTAGTGATGATCGTTGATATCAAACTTGGGTTGTTTTGACATAGAGGTTAATGTTTCATTTATATGGTGAAATTGTCAATCTTATGTGAAAGTAATCACAATAAAACAGTCCTGAGGAGTTCACAGAGACAAATAGTTTAGAATCAAACTATGCATACCATTTCTTTACTTATTCTTATAGATTTCTACAATAAACATAGACTTATTCAAACTGTATTTATCATATATTACAAGTTTAAACTGTTCTATTTAGAATAATATGTAAACCAAAACAGGGGTCTAAAGAGATCGAAATTCTTCCATCGATATACGCACAGATGGACACAGACATGAGAATGACAACACCCGCTCATTATGGCTTCCAGGAATATTCAAGCAAAGTGTTTCACCAAACCGATCTCAACACATCCATAATGAGCTGGCATGCTTACACATCTATCCGGCTGCTGGAGCTAAGCCAGGAGGTAAAATGTGAACAAGAAAGATCTCAGTAAATTCAGCGCAGCACACGGGCTTAGATCACGGTGTCAAACACGAATTGTTTGAATCGTCACCTGTTTGTTCCGTATGTTTCCAGCTTGTGGTGAGTGATGCCTGGCACAGGCTAGGTCTTCAGAGATTAGACTAATCCCACTTGTCTTTGCCTCCCCAGGTTCTCCAGATGGGCTTTAACAAGTTGAGGAACCTGACAGAGGGCATGTTGCGAGGCCTGGGCAAGCTACAGTACCTTTACCTGCAAGCCAACCTCATTGAGACTGTTACACCCAACACCTTCTGGGAATGTCCGAATATAGAGAATATAGACCTCTCCATGAACAGGTATTGACAATCATGCTTACTAGGTGAAACTGCTTAAATGTTGGAAATTGCTGCTTTTTCAGCCATAATATATGAACACCAATCAGGCATAACATCGTGACTCTTGTTTTGGTGCCCCTTTTGCTGCCAAAACAGCCCTAACCCATCGAGGCAAAGACTCCCCTAGACCCCTGAAGCTGTGGTATCTGGAAGTGAGCAACAGATACTTTAGGTCCCTTAAGTTGCAATGTGGTGCAACCATGGATCGGACTTGTTTGTCTAGCACAACCCACAGATGCTTGATTATAGTGAAATCTGAGGAGTTTGGAGGCCAGGTTAACACCTCAAACTTGTTGATGCGCAAATCATTGCTGAATCATATTTGCTTTGTGGCAGGGTGCATGCTAAAAATGGCTCCAGCCATTAGGGAATAACATGTCCATGTAGATGGTCTCCAACAGTGCTTAGGTAGGTGGTACATGTCAAAACAGAATATCCACAGAGATAGCAGGACCCAAGTTTTTCCAACATAGCATCACACTGCTTGTGCCAGCTTGCCTTCTTCCCATAGTGCATCTCTCACACGTGTCCATTGTTGGTGCTTTGGGCGGTGGACAGGGGTCAGCATGGGCAGCCCCATTATTATGCACTCTGTATTCTGACAGCTTTCTATCAGAACTAGTGTTAACTTTTTTCAGAAACTTTGGTTTCAGTATCTGATGGATCAGACCACACAGACCAGCCTTTGCTCCCCACATGCAACAGTGAGCCTTGGCTCCCCATGACCTTGTTGCTGGTTCACCGCTCTTCCTTCCTTGGACAACTTTTTGATAAGATACTGACCACTGCAGAGTGGGAACACCCCACAAAATCTGCAGTTTTCACAATTTAGCCCTTGTCAAACTCACTCAAATCTTTATGTTTGCCCATTTTTCCTGCACAGTAAATGTGAGGACAAAATCTTCGCTTGCTCCCTAATATACCCCACCCACTAACAGGTGCCATGAAGAAGAGATAATCAGTGTTATTCATTTTAAATGTCGCTTGTTAGTGCTCATAATGTTATTCCTGATGATTGTTGATATATATAGATGGTGAAATTGTAATTGTAATAATTGCAGCACATGTACACTGGAGAACAAACAAAAATTAAAATGCCAGGCATTTTAGCTATGCTTGTTTTCTAAATTCACCTATTTGCACTGATGATGGAAAAACGCGCTACTGACCATTCAGTGATACTAATTTTCTCCTGTGACGGTATCCTCAGCAGATCCCTATGCTACTCACTTTTTTTCTCAGTGGAAATAACTGTCTTGTTCTTACTATTGGTTTTGGTAATTGGTATTGATCTGTTGACCTAAATGTATAGCAACAGCTAAATGAAATAAGCTTAACTGCTCTTTTGGACTTGTTGAAAATTGTATTGCAGAAGATGTTTTTGACCATAAGCTGAAATCTATTAAATGGAGGGAATAGGTGCATTAAATGTGAAAGAACACATCTAAAGGGGTAACTTGCCAATAAATTTATACTTTCTTATTGATCTTTTTCCAGGATTCAGGTGTTGGATGGCAGTTTGTTCTCTGGACTCTCTAAGCTGACCACCTGTGAACTTTACACTAACCCCTTCAATTGCTCTTGCGAGTTGCTGGGTTTCCTTCGCTGGCTTGCAGCCTTCCCCAACAGGACCAGTGAGAGGATGGTGTGTGACTCCCCTCATGGATTCTCGGGGTACAACCTTCTCAACCAAAATCCCCGCATGCTTAACCAACGCAGTGCTTTGTATGCGCTCAGTCACGTGTGCACAGATGACAGCAGTAGCGCAACATCCTTCTATGGTATTGATTCCACAACTCCTCCGCCAGATTTCGCCTCTCCCTGCGGACTGGATGATTGCGCTTCCGGGACCCCTCCTGATGGGGGTGAGGTGATCAGCTTGAGTCCCATTTTCCCCGATGCCAAACCCCTTATGACTATAAAGCAAGTGCTAGATTCGAGCGCTGTGATAACAGTTCAGATTCCCGATCCGTACAAGAAAATGTACATCCTGATGCTTTATAACAATAGCTTCTTCACGGATATTCAGAATTTGAAAGATAAAAGAGAAGATATTGAGCTAAAGAACTTAAAACCAAACACTGACTACACCTACTGTGTGGCTTCTATACGAAACTCCCTTCGCTTCAACCACACCTGTCTGACCATCTCAACAGGCCGTCGAGTCGGAACAGAGAGATTACCCACTGAGTCATCAGCAACCCATTACATTATGACAATTTTGGGATGCCTGTTTGGAATGCTTGTGTTCCTTGGCTTTGTTGTCCACTGCCTGAGAAGAAAGAGGATCATGGAGGAAAAGGAAAGGAAGATGAGCAGGATCCAGAGAACACTGATAGAGCTAAAGTATGGTGGAGAAGGGGATATAGAGGGAGGGAGTGGAGGAACCGTTTCCCAGAAGCTTGGTGCTGGGGACAGTCTGTCCAGAATGCCCTACCTACCTCAGGGTGGTGAGATAGATCCATACAAGCTTCAGGAGGTGATAGAGACACCAGCCCACAAGCCCCCTAAACTCAACTATATGGAGGTGAGAGGGTCGGACATTGAAAGGGAGAGAGAACGAGAGAGAGAAAGGGAGATGTCACCGCAAGCAAATCCCCAAGGCTCAGTAGCAGAGATCTCTACCATTGCCAAGGAAGTAGATAAAGTTAACCAGATCATCAACAATTGTATAGATGCTCTCAAATCTGAATCTACCTCCTTTCAACAGGGGATCAAATCCCCCTCTTCTGCAGGTGGAGGAGCTGTTTCAACAGCAGAGCCACAGCTGGTGCTTCTGTCTGAGCAAGGAGAAAGGGAACGAGGAGGTGAGTTCCTCTCCCCGGTGTACAAAGGAGGGAGAGGAGGAAGAGAAGAGAGGGGGAGAAGTTATCATCATTCATTACAGCGACACCACAGCATGGAGGCTCCTCCAACATCTAAAAGGCCCAGCACGTCCTCCTCTCCCGGCTCCGCCCGGAGCCCTCGCTCCTTCCGCTCAGAGGGAGGGTACCACTCATCAGAGTCCCGCTACATTGAGCGAGCCTCACCAGGAGATCGAGGGGAAAGGGGGGGCGGGGGAGGTGAGCCCATCCGCACAGTCACCCCGGCTGCAGCCATCTTACGAGCTGAAGCCCAGAGAATCCGCCAGTACAACGAGCACCGTCACTCCTACCCCGGCTCCCAGCAGCATCTCCAGGAGCTGCAGCACCACCCCCAGATCCTGCAGGAACTCCACCACCACCCAGGGGGCCGCAAGCCCTCGATGTTAGACCCCCTCACTCTCAGCAGGCAGGCCAAGCAGAGGGAGTTAGCCTACTCCCAGCTTTCGCCACACTACCCGCTCTCGCCACAGTACCACAACCTGAGCTACTGCTCCAGCCCCGAGGAAGACGAGGAGGAGGAAGGGCTCCTCTGCACCCCGACCCTGGGGCTGTGGGAGCGGTTCAAACTGCATCGCAAGAGGCACAGGCAGGCATCTATGGAGGATGAAGGCTACGTGGCAGCCGGACATGCGCTGAGGCGAAAAGTTCAGTTTGCCAAGGATGAAGATCTCCATGACATACTGGACTACTGGAAGGGTGTGTCCGCCCAGCAGAAGGCCTGATCCCACGTGTGGAGATCCCCCCAAACCATGCGAAGATGGAAAATTAACAAAAGTGCATCCATGACATACTGATACACAGTGACTTATTCAACAAAGAGCTGTAAATACACACAAATGCACACATCTTACAGGAGCTACAGAATCAGATTGCAAATACGTGTACACACAGACACACACACACGGACATACTTTACACAAACTAAGCCTTTTCTTCTGAGAGCACGGAGGAGGACCAAACTAATATATTATACTGAACGACAAAAATTATAACATATAGAGACTGAGTTACTTTTTGTAATGTAATGGGAGTTATAGCTCAGAGTTATGTAGCTATTTGTACTAAGTTTTGAATGAAGAAAAGCAGAATCATCATTAAGAATAGAAACCTTAAATGTTGCTGGGCAGGCCATCCTGAATAGTCCAGGGATGCTTTCAATCTCGTCGCAGCGGTGTATAATAAAGACTTTGCTTTTCCAGAGAGGTTGTTTTTGCATCGCGTCCTGCGATGCTGCCACATGAGTAGACTTTTTAAATTTTATTTTTTTTATTTTTTTTTAAACTTCTGTGATTTCGGAGATTGAAAACATCAAAAGCAACAAATTCTGGATGGGTCGCCGGGCTACAGTAATATTTAACTGTGCTGAGAATGAGTAGGTAGCTCTCATCAGAGAGTGAATATAATGTGCCAAATCAACCAAGGGGATAGTAGAGCCCTACTGTGTATCAACTTCTCCTCACCACTGTTTTTATATACAGGATTTAAAAAAAAAAAAAGGGGGAAAAAACTGCTAATATGATATGTTGTTATTACTATTCATTATTCTTATTATCATTACTGGTCTTCTATTATTCCTATGATCCTCATCATTAATATTCTATTATTTGAATATGGCATGGCTCTATCGTGTGACTGTGTTTTTTTGACTGTTTTGAAACTCTCAGCTGAGGAGTGTACACCAACAGAGACACAAACAGTCGATGGACAAGACTTTTGAGTTCTCCTTTTTCTACCAAGAGGAATGTGCTCCTCGCCAAGCCAGAAACAAGCCCACCTTTTCGCTTGGTGAACCCCATCCCGCCCACACCCCACCCTAATCCTCCTAAAGAGGAGAACGTTGTACAGATGAGAGAGAGAAGTTCTATATTTGCAAACAGAGGTGACTGTTTTGTTTGTACAACATGGGTTTTGAAATCTTTCAGACTTTTCAGAAACCAGAATCCCGAGTTAGTCACCTGCCGGATCACTTACAAATGGTACGTTTTTGATTTTGAAATCGAACTTCAAAAAAAAAGAAAAACAATTCTAATCTTCAAATGAATGTCTTCAATTCCCATAGGGAAAGCATATCTGCACTGTTCAAAATCAAAAAACGACTCTTAGAAAAAAGGAAAAAAGACCTAAAACTCTCAGCTTCCTTCCCGATACACTGTAGCGCCACTGTGTTTTTCATCGACAATTCACCCCCCCCAATCCCAACCCTCAAGCCCATCGCCCCGCCTCCCTCACCTTCCCCTCCCTCGTCCCATCTCCCAGGGTTTTAACGTTTGACCTTTTTTTGAATTCTTCTGGTTCCACTGTGGTGCCATCGTGCTAACTTGACAAATCGCAACACATTTGAGACGATTTTAAGTACTACTATTTACAGACCTCTTACCTTCGCATCAATACTTGTCAGTGTGCCAAACAGAACTACGATTTGCACAAAATGATCCACCACCATTGGCTCACTGCTTCCCCGCCTCCAATCATTTTTAAGACCAAAGTACTGTGGTAGTAAATTGACACCTTACCCTCCCCAACCCGCCCTCTCAAAGCCAGGACCCAACTGTTGACCCACCATCATCCTCACAGTTAACGACTCTAGCACATGCATACATGCAACTTCAAGTGTACTCATGCACTCGCAACCAACACACAGATGAATGTATTCTTCGAGAAGTTAATACTGTTCAGCAGCTGGATTCTGATGAACGAGCTGCATTCAGTCTTTGTGCCCATTGTCTGAGAGGAAACTCTCTTTGAGATGGCCAGTTGTGAGACCAAGAATTGGGAGATCAATAAGAAGCGATCGGCTTCCTATAGAATCAAATGTGACCAAATTGGTGCACACAGTTGACCAGTTTGTCCTGGAAGCCCAAAGCAGTTGCTAAAGAGGTTCTATTTAAGTACTGGCAGTTGGTTGTTTCTTTTTTTAAATATATGAAGTGTTATGGTAAAATGTGATTAGTATCACTTATGTGGTGAACAGAGACTTTGTGTATATCTGAAATATCTGCAGGATTTAAACACTGGAGGTGGAAAATAGGAGAAAAAAAATGTGATAATATACTTTACACAGAACTGTGCTACAACAAGTCATTTAATGAGACTGTAAACCAGGGGTGGAGTCAACAGAGTTTCATATCAATGCACTTTGAATTTAACGTTAACCAATTTTGCGACATGATTCGAAACAGAGTTGACTCCAACCTTGAAATGATGACACTGAAAATCTACAGAGAACACAACAGAGATGGCAAACAATGACAAGTTTATTGTTGAGTGGAAACACTGTAAAAAAACAAACAAAAACAAACTTTTTTCTCTGCTATAATGAGTTCAGAATGCTCAAGTCATTAAGCCGGTTAAAGCCATAATCGCGTGTGAGTAAAATCATCACAGCTGTCTGTAGCACCGCAAAAAGCACATTCATTTGTGTGGCTGGAAAAGAAAAAAAAGGCAAATTTTTTAAAATGTTTTTCTTCTTCCCTGACACTGCAGCGGCTATGACATGGTTCCTCTGCTGCTGCAGCAAACAATCCAACTCTGATCTAAAAGGAAACTGATGAGCCGTGGCTGTTGCTGCGTTACACGTTCCAGATTGTGGCTTTAACCAAACAATAGCCTTAAAACATTCTCTTTTTTTCATCTTTTTAACTTTAGCGTTGCTTTGAGAATTGAAAACAAAAATAATCCTGATTTCTTAACATATACTTCACCCGACTGCAATTTTATAATTGCTTGATTCTGAAGCCTCACTTGAGCATTCTTTTAGTAACAGTAATATCAATGTAGCGATGTATTCTATTACTGTTTTTGGTTTGTTTTTCTTTTTTTCCATTATGTTTTATAAACAGTAATGGCCTGAACTTATCATGTGTCAGAGAGTAGCAGAGCTCACCTCGAGTAAGACACAAACGAGCTGATGGTCAAGGCGACCAGATGGCGGTGACCCCAATCAGCGCTGCTATTCTTTGAACCGTGATGAAGTGAAACTGTGTTTTTGAAACAACAATGCCTAGAAAGTGGAAATAAACCGAGGTCCTACTAACAGAGAGAAATGACAATGGAGCATGCTGCAAGGAAATCCTCAGTGGAAGCTTGTGTTATATTCTTCTAGTGAATGACTCAGGAGCAAGAGAGGAAGTGAGAGAGAGAGAGTGAGCGAGAGAGAGAGAGAGAGAGAGAGAGAGAGAAAACTCTACCATAGGATCTCTCAGAGGCTTTCTTTATTTTATTGTCAAAAAAAATTAAAATGAGCACAATAAAAATAGCCTTCCTTTCACTGTCTCCTTTCCCTGGAGAAACCATACAAATGCCACAAGTGCCAGAAGTATCACAGGACTTTCATTTCGCATTTAAAAGATGTTTGATGGATTACATTTGCTGGGATAAACTTTTACTTGTATAGCCATAGATAATTCTGGTCTCATATGTTTGTGACAAGGTTGTAGACATTTTTGCTTTTATCTCAAGGCGGAGGCCAAAAAGAAACCGTTTGTGGTTCTCAGTGCTGAACATTTCAGGAGACATCTTTTTCCACAAAACGATACCAGTTACTCTGCAAAATACACAAAAGATCTTGTGGGAAGTTTTAAAATAGTTATACTCCAAAAAGCTGATGGTGAAACCTTTGGATCCTTTAACACAAATAAATAAATGTTCTTCAGCTTTAGGATATTTTATCTCTCAGATTTCTGCCTCCTTATATAGTGGAGGGAAATGACATTATTTGTGGTGCTACTGTAACCCATGTGTGCGTGTGTTACACCTGTTTTTGTCTGTGTTATGTTCTGTTTTGAAATAATGAGACGGGATCTCTGGTTCTTTAGTTTCAACCGAATGAAATACAGAAATACTGAAAACCATGAGTTGTGTGTGCTGGGCGCCTGCGAGGCCTGAATAACATAGTAATGTGATAAACTAAAAACATAAACTGGTCCATCACTGACTTGAATTAAACAATTAATCAGGCAAATAAATTCAAATTTGTAACCTGGATCGTTAAATACTTTAGTTAGGGAAATCAAATCTCTGCAGGATTCACACAGGAAGAATAGAACAGCATACAGCAGTTTGGTCTTATTCAAATTGCAAGTAATGGATTTAACAACTTTTATCATCAGAGTGCAACTGCATGGTAACCTCCAGCCTTATTGGAAAACACTGTGACCGGAGAACATCAGCACAGACTCAAACCACACAGGCAGGAGATTAAAATCCAAAATAAATTATTTAACAGAAAAACGGGTGTTTGGGGGAAATTCATAAACTTGCATCACATCAGCTGCTACAGTAATAACAGCCTGACCTTTGAAGAAGTAGGGCGCACACAGAAATGCTAAGAACTAAGGTATGTATTCAGAGACTGCATTTAAAAGATGGATGAGGCCCCTGTGATGACGTCCTAGTGTTTCTGAAGTCCTGTCTTTGACTTCTGCTTTGCGGCTGGTCATTTCTGTCTTTTGGAATCCAGAAGTGACCATATTTACAAAAATGGGTAGAGTCCCAAGTTTTCAGCTAATGCTAACAAGCTTGGTTAGCAAGACGCACTCACAGCTAGCCTATAGATACTAGCTAGTATCAGACTAAGAAAATACCAGGACTTCACTCACTAAGACTGGAGGACATTCCTCTTGAGTACAGGTGCTAGCAAGTCATTTTATTGTTACGCATTTGCATTAAAAATAGCCTAAAACATACATGAGTAATAAGGCTCAGAGACGAGAATTAGCTGTTGTTGACATCTTGGTTTTGAAAAATCCAACGGGATAAGGAACAGTGTTGCCAACTCCTCAGTAAGGAAAATCGCTATTGGTTGTCCTAAAAGTCGCTAGAAGTCGCTAAATGATGTCATCGCCTAATTTGCATAATTGGTCATGCTAATCTAATTGTAACCTATGTTGTTAGAGAGAGAAATAACATCGTGGAAGAGACAAAGTGAGTAAAAACATCCTAAATGCATTTAGAGTTTATTTAGAACTACAAATTCAATTTCTTTTAGCAATTATTGTTTTTTTTAATGTCACAATTCCAACCCTGCTCCTTTACCCGGGCTTGGACCGGCAAAAGTGACCCGAAATAGGCACTCTGGTGGAGTTACTTTGTGTGTGTGTGTTTATAAGTAGTTTTAAACCTTGTGATCCACAAAACAGCAAAAGAGTAAAAGAAGAACTGACTGCGTTACAGCACCCGCTGCTTGTTGAGAGTAAAAGCAATACGCGCTTTCACGTCTTTTTTTAGCGACTTTTTTTCTAAAAAAAAAGTCGCTAAGGGGTCTGAAAACTCGCTAAATATAGCGACAAAGTCGCTAAGTTGGCAACACTTATAAGAAGGGGTGGGTCTGACTGTGAAACTGCTTGGTCAAGCCATTAGCCAATAAGCAAACCACAGATAATCCGCCATTTTCTTTTAACATAACCAATATTTACAAAAAAGTTATATTTATAAAAATGTTTTATTCAATATGATCAAAACTGGTGACTCGAACTCGAAAGAGTTTATAGAAGTCAAGACAGAAAACAATTCCAATAGAGTTCTATGATAATTAAGTGAAGTTTAAAATAAATATAAACTGCGAAGAATCACAGTATAATATGATTTTAAAAAAATTAAGTGAAATTGACTGCAAAACAAATAAAATTAAATCAGAGAATATTTTAAAAACAGTTACTGTTGGTAAAAGTCTTTATATAAACTCAGGTTAAATAAACTTTTTAAATGTTTTTTAAAGTCCACAGAGTCAGCTAGATGTTGTGGGAGATGTTCCAAAATCTTGGTGCCACAGACTTAAAGGCTCTGTTTCCCCCTCTTCTTCAACCTTATATGATGAACAACTAGCAAATTCTGAGCTTGTAAACAAAGACTGTGAGCAGAAGTGTGTTTAGTGGCAAGCTGGAATACATAGTGTGCAGGAAGTTTGTTTAATTGTCTGTAGGTGAGGGAAAAAATGCAGAAAGAAAATAATAATGGACCCAGGACTGAACCCTGCAGAACCCCACAGTAATGTTAAAGGAGAACTGGCGCACCCTAACAATCACAGTAATAGAAATCACAGCTATCACCATCTGGTGGCTTCCAGATACATATTTTATGCTGTCTGTTGCTTAAATAATGGTTAGCAAATAAAATAGTCATTATGGTCACCACCTGTGTTTCTTTTGTTAGCATCCAAACATGTACTACAGTAATTAAAACTTAGCATAAAGAGCAGGTGAAGCTCATGGATAAGACATTGATTTGAATTTGAAATCTAACTCACCAAAATCACCAGGATCCTACCTCTGGGGACCATGAATGTCTGTACAACATGTAATGATAATGCATCTCATGGTTAAGTATGGAAATGGGCAAACCTCTGCACAAAGAGCCACGATCATGTCAGCATCACAGAGGGTCTGTGAAGAAATCAGTTACTTTATTATTTTGAAAAGTTAAACTGGGACCATTTTATAATACAAAACAACCAATAAACCTGCAGCCACCCTCACTGTGTAGGCAGAAATCTGAGAGACAAATACAGCATCTCAAACCGATAAACAAAGCTAAACGATCTTTATAGCTAGAAGCAAGCAACTGAACACATTACAGGTGATTGAGGGTTACACCAACTGACACGTATTGATACAAAATAATTACATAGATACTTATTAATCCCAAAGGAAAGTTTAAAAAGCTGCTTTCAGCTGCTTCCTTATTCACAGCAGGTTGCTCTGAGATGTGATTTGGCAGATTTTTATACTCTTCCTGATGCAACCCTCAAAGGATTTGTGTCTCCTCCTTGGATTAAATCAGGGATCTTTCATTTGTTAGGTGAATGCGTAAACACTATGGAGCCACTACTTAGGTACTTGAACAGTGTCCTGCCATCTGATATGTAGTTAAGACTGGCTGACAAATCATACAGAGGTATTTATATTTAGTTTTGACCTAGAGCCTGAGGCCATTTTGTAAAAAATCATGGAGACATCACAGTAATGAAAACTGGTTAATCTCTGACTAACTGATGCTTGTAAAAAGTTTTTGTCTTGTACTTAAATATATTACTATTAAATAAACTGCATAACATATGTAAAATAAAATAAATCAGTTTTGACAAACCTACACACCACTTGAAGGTGAACATTTCCCCTTAAGAAAACGTGGATGGATATGGATACTGACAAATCTACGACGCCCTCGATAAAGATCGCACTTTGGATTGACAGCACGGTTGGGATGGGATGCTCACTTTGCTCGATTTTAATTTGACAGATAGCAGTTGAATGGACCAAATGAACCTGTCTAATGAAAACTTTATTGACAGTAAGTATTTCTGCACAGTATGTGTCAAAACATATTTTGAAATTTTGTGTTTTATATGCTGACAAATATGCAGCATTAAAAGCAACTTTGACAGATTTAAGAAAACTAGACTTCTTTGTGCAGGGAACAATCGGCGTTTGTGCATATGGCGCTGCTGATGTATCCCACTTCTCGGGCTGTTTTGTGCAAAACAAAACAACAAAAAATAATTTGACGTGGCTGGAGATTGAACTGCCAGCAGCTTAAATAATAGTGCAAAATCTGGGCTACCTGTACATACACAAGGGAATTTTAACTTTCTCAAACAACATAGGAAATTTTCCACATAGTTATGCGATACAATTTTCTCTCAGAGGCTTTGCTGTGCGTGAAGCAGGTGAGTGCACTGATAACAGACATCAATGCAATACAAGGCAGACGTTTTAATGCTGTGCAATGATGGGGTTACAAGAGAAATTCTAAATCAGTTCTTTTACAAATGCTGGTCGTTTTACATCACATGGACAATTATGTCACATTCGGTGATTGTAAGTGACGACTGTACTCCACTACTTCACTGCTTTTCATGTATTTATTTATTTCTTTTATACAAGGTGAATTTACTGGTACCGTTAAAAGTATTCAAGCTGTGAAAGCAGGAGGAGCTCTGTCACATCTGAGGAAAGCACTTGAGCGACAGCACCTGAGCTGGTCTGCAGAACGCACACTCTGAACACAAATCCTGGTTACAGACCAGGTTATTGAAAGGGAATGTGTTTTTAACCATTATTATGGCAGGTAAGGGCTAATAACAAGACAAGATCAAGTTAAAGTTTGCAAAGTGTAGGGACTTAAAGTGGCTCCGAGCTGTGAGGGGAAACAGCTGTGCTCGTTTCCAGTCTAGCCCCTTCAACTTGGTGTGCTGTTGTGGAGGGTCTCTTAGTTGAGGGGTACGCCACGGATACATTGGCAAGCTTTGGAAAATCCTTGCTCTTCTACA